ACCTGGGCAACTTCGGGACTCGGCAAGACCTTGTCTCAAAATCAAAAAGTCTGGGAATGTAGCGTAGTGTCAAGGCCCTCAGTACCAGAAAAAATAGGAAGGAAAAACGAAAATAAAAAACAACAACAACAAAAAAAAAAACACTGATTTTTTATGTATTCCAATGATTTGTGTCTCTGAAATCAGATTTCCCCAGATTCAGATCTTTATCACTTACAAAATCTGTTAACCTCAGATTTAGGATTCTTAACCACTCCATGCCTCAATGTCCCCATCTATAAAATGAAGAAAATAATGTATTTGCCTGATGTACTCCCTTTTATTCTGAATTAAAAGAGATAAAACAAAATAACTCAGTATGTATAATACAGAATAATCTGTGTGTAAAAGAGAAAATACTTATGTACTTCTTTCTTAGATATGCATCAATTATGTTTGGAAGAATAACATATTATAAAAATTGATTGCTGCTGGTGAAGAAAATTGAATGGCTGGGATTTAAAACAGAAGGGAAATGGTTCACTGTATATTTTCCTATTCCCTGTGGTTTTAAAAAGAAGCACGTAATTCTTATTTGTTTTTTTTTTTTTTGTTGTTGTTGTTGTTGGTTTGGTTTGGATTTGCAGTAATGGGGACTGAGTGCACTGCCTTCACACTTAGCTACAACCACAGCCTCTTTTCCATTTTTAAAATTTTTAGACGGAGTCCCTCTAAGTCACTAAAATTCCCAGGCTTGGCTGAAACTTGCCAGCATGCTTTGTTTCCCAGAATGCTGCTGTAACAGGGGTGTACCACCATAGCCAGCTATAATTTCTATTTCCCTTAGCACTTTCCAGAGAAAACAGAATGAATATGAGATCTGTAGATATACAGAAGGAGAGTTATAATGAGGATTCGGCTCCCTTGATAGTACAGGCTGAGAAGCCAGAGGCCCAGGACAGCTGGTGTACTATTCAGTCCAGTGGGAAAGCCTGAGATCCAGGGTTGCTGCTGGCCCAGGCAAAAGAAGACAGGGGTGCAGCTCCAAAAGAGGAAGTATGTTTGCCCTTTCTCTGCCTTTTTGTTGGATTCAGGCCAACAACAGCCTGGATGGTGCCTACCCATGATGGTGAGGTGGCTCTCAGTCTACCTATTCAAATACTAATTTCTCGTGGCAGGCCTTGCACAGGCACATCCACAAAAGCTGTTTCACCAGCTACCTGGCCATCTCTTAGCTGAGTCAAACTGACCTGTGAGATTAGTCACCCACTAATGCCCCACACACACAAAAAAATGAAAACTTTTTAAAAATTCTGGTTCCCTTCCTGTATTTACACACGATAACTGAATCAGCTTGACTACTCAGGCTCCCTGTGACCCAAGCTCAACCTGCCCATCCTGCTTTCTCCCAAAACCCTGCCTCCTTCCTCCCCATCTCTAGGCAAACCTCATTGTTCCTTATTTGCCAAAGTGACCACAGTGACTACAATTTATTCTCACTTTAGAACTTGATAAAACTTAGAGTAAATCAATTGTTTTGTGGCTCCTCCTACCTCCCTCCACACCTCATTTTCTCTGATTGCTGTCAGCAAACACCAGATCTTCTCCCTGACCCTCCCAGAGCTTGATTATCACCCAAGCAGGGCTTGGAGTCTTGCTGCCTTAACTTAGACCTACATCTCTCAAAGGGAAGAATAGTTGAATGGGTCTGAAACTCCTTGGAATCTGCACATGGTGGTGCATGCTTGTAATCCCAGCACTTGACAGACTGAGGCAGAAGGATCATTGTGAGTTCAAGGATAGCCTGGACTACATAAGTGAACTCAAGGTCAGCCAGAACTGCATAGAGAGATCATGCCTCATAAAGACAACAAGTCAAAACTCCTTGGGCAAATGGCTTTCTTTCTCCAAAGGGAAAAATAAATCCATAAATTCAGGAAGTGGAACTTCCCTATCTTCTCCTCCCACACAGGGACTAACCTTTGCCCAAAAGAGGTGATGAGACCCTGTATCAGGCAGATAAAAGAATCCTCCCTGGGCTGACATATCACATGGCTGAAGATGAGAAAGGCCTCTTCTCCATCCCATATGTATACCTTTACTTTGGAGAAGATGCAAGGCCAAATGCCAGGCTGAGACCAGCTTAATTCCCTTCCCTCACCTGCTGAAACCCTTGAGCCCTACCTCTTCTAAGTGTTCCCACTAGGGAACTCTTAAAGCCCTGTCCTTCTCAATGCACAGTTCCCTGCTCTCAGCAGCTCAGGTTCCTTCCCCAAAAGTAACAAGCATGAACAATGTGATCTTCCCTGAGATAATCTATATCTCTACTAATCAGGTACATCCTCTAACAAGGCCTGGACCAGCCTGACTCTACCATGAGGAACCTGCCATCTCCCTGACTCCAGCACAGCATTCAAGAAACATCATCCCAGAAAACCACAGGTGCTCAAGCCCTTCCATCTGTTGCTCAATGAATAGTCCAGCTTGCATAATCTGGAAAGAATCCCACAGAACCTACAGAAAAATGTAAGCTTCACAAACACAGGCTTTCTTAGACAGCTTTGTCCAACACCAGGCTCTTCCCATCTTGAAACAAGAGCTCCCTAAATTGCTTGGAAATCAGCCATCACCTTTCAACCACAATTACCCATAGCAGTGACAAAACCCCAAAGAAGAGCCAGCTTCAGACTGCATCTGATGCCTCAAATTCCAGGAAGTATAAAGTTGAGCAACAGGAGGAGTGAATTGCTAATAATGACCCAGGTGATGCCACTTTCCCCAAAGTAGCCCATGAAGCTGGGCAATGGGTGGTGAATTCCCATAATCTCAGCTACTTCCCAAGACAGAAACAGGAGGATTTTGAATTCCAGACTAAGCTGGGCAATAGAACAAGACCTCCCCCCCCCCCCCACAGAATGACAGCTTGAGTATATGCATGTATCTTTATGTACCTGTTTGAGCATTTGTGTGGAAGAATGATTGTGCATGTTCATATTTCTATATTTGCATATATAAATAGGTGTGTGTGTGTGTGTGTGTGTGTGCATGCACGTGTATCTGAAGAGGCTGAGGCAAGGCAGAGTGATTGGACCAGGGACACAGAGAAGTATCTTTGGCTCTCTGAGCCCAGGGTTGGCTCAGCTGGCACTTACCTTAGCCCCTCCCCTGCTGGCCATGTGTCCTCCAGATTGAGAGCCTCCTTAGACAGTTTCATGGACTTGTGTGTGTGGTCCCCAGCCCTCTCCATCAGATGGTCAACACCTGGCCTCTGTATTCTATTCAGACACCAAGAGTGTCCTGGGAAAGGCCAGAGATCTGACAGTGGAAGTGAAAGGCTGTGGACGATCTCCAAAGGGAAGGTACATGGATCTGTAGCTGAGCTCCCAAGGATTGGGGGAGTGATGGGATTACTCCTGAACTTATCAAAACCATAGCCCTAAACCTAACTTCAACTTAGAATTAGCCCTAACCACAGCCCTAGCTATAGACATATCCCTAAATGTAACCATAAAGTTACCTGTAAATTTAACCCTAAATATACACTTATCCTTAATTGTAACAGTGGCCCTAAATCTAATAGTAACCCGAAGGGTAACCTTAGGCCTAGCTCCTACCCTAGCTCTACCACTAGTCCTAATCCTAAATGTAACATTAACCTTAAACCTAACCATGGTGAAACCTAGTCCTAGTCCTAATCTTAATCCTAGTCCTGACATGAACCTTAAGGTTGTACGATTCTGGGATTAAGTGTGTGGCACTGAATTAGTGCCCTAATTAGTTTATCATAATTTTGGGTGTGGGAGATGAAAAGATTCAATCCAGTTGTTTGTACCCTGGTTGGGATATAAAAGGGAGGATTGCTGCTGCTGTTTGCTTGCTGCTTACTGCTTGCTTCCATGCCATGGATTGTTCTCCTCTGTGATGCCCCCTCTGTCATTGCACTGTGCCTTGGAGCCAGCTGATTATGGACCAAAAGCTCTGCAAACTATGAGCTTTCAACTTGTGGCTGTTGGATATTTTGACTCAGCAACCATAAATGTTACTAAGGTAAGCGTGTGTGTGGATGTTTTGCAGAAACCCAGTAGTGAATTGAAATGAAGGCACTTTGCACCACGGAGTTTGGAAGACAATGATTTATTATGCTAGTAGGCTGGTAGGCATCAGTTCCCAGTCACCAGCCCTGACTGAGAGTCAAGCAGGAATTCATATAGATTTTGTAAGCAGGCAGTACAAAAGCTGATAAGAGGTTATCATGTAATTAGTTACATGCACTAAGTCATACATTGTCAGGCAGCACTAACTAAAGGAAATTGTTATGAGGCAGGGACATTCTGGGAAAGAAGGTGTGAGCAGAGTGCACAAAGTTAAGTGTGTCTTTGACTGGGTTATTTTGTCCTGGGAAGAAAGTCTGTGAAACACATTAGAGAAACAGGCTATATTTTTAGATGATAAAATATAGTCCTTGCAGCTGTTAGTGGGACAGGCTGATGTGACACAGGCTATCTATGAAAAGCAGCTGTACATAGATCGTCAAGACTGACTAGGTTCAGCAATCTAATTATGTGACAGGCAGGGTGAGCACATCTTGTCTCAACACAGTAATAGGCTGCTGATTGATTTTTAAAATGTCTTGCTATAAAATTACAATTATAGATGGGTGAGGAAGACTATCACGGGTAATATCCTGCCCAGATCACTCCTACTGATGCCCCAGTAGGAGATACTCACTTGCTTACAGTCATGAGCCTGGGCCCACTGGCAGAGTCAGAGTGCTGTTTAGAAAGGAATATCGGAGGGGCGAGTCAGCCTCCTGTAGGAATCACCCAGGGGCAAGGCTTCTAACTGAAATGTTTCTCAAAAATAACAAGTAGTTATCACAAACATACTGCTATTCACTGGAGCATAAGAAACAATAAGGAAATTCAGCAGAGATAGGTATTTCATAAAGTTTTTATTAGTTACATACACTTCTACAAAATATTGGGTTTGAATGTGTTACTTTCATACATGCATGTCACATATTTTGATGATATCTAACCCAACAATTAACCTCCCTTTTATTTTCTTCTCTTCCATAGTCCCATACTGTTGTCTAATCAGTCTCCCCTATGCTTTTATGAATATTGCTAAATTTAAATTAACACAGAGCACATTTCACAAAGTGGGAAGAGGAAAAGGATAATGTGCGATGAGAAATAAAACTTTTATGAAAGTCAGCAAAACAGTTGTTCACATTGATAAATTAAATGTAAAACTATAGGGAAACTATTGAGAGCTAATAATAGTAAAATATGAAAGTAAAAGCAACAACTATGGGCCTGGGAAAATGGGAATCAGGGAGACTTTGACCCTGGGTATAGTTTTCTGTCATTTGGACTACGGTATGCACACAAACATTATCTTGTCATAAAAAGGAAAGTACTAAAAAAAGAAGAAGAACAACAAAAAAATCCCAAGTGAGGTCAAGCCATGGCGAGCCTTGAATGATCCAATGATCTACATTTCTTCAATGTAAAATCAGACTATGCAAGCTAACATTTTTTAATGCCGCTACCTAGGTTTGTAGCTGCAAATTACCTGACAGAACAATATTGCTTATAGGGAGGTTCAAAAGCTTTATAGAATGGGAGATGTTGACATGTGATTGGAAATATGCAGATGTTCACAAACATCTTGGTGAAGGAGAATTGTCTCTCAAATCTCTCTGTTCTTGATTTGTCCCCGATCCTTGTGATGGAATTTATGGAGTCCATTCAGGGTCTCCTTAAGCCCCTCTAGGACACCAGCTTTCATCCTGGACTCTGTAGTCATCCCCTAATTTAGAGAACAAAGATGTGCTCTGCTGTAACATAAAATGCATGCAACTACCCATAAAATACTCACAAAAATGGTACCAATACTTCTTACCACTAGGGGACAGGACCACCAACCCCAGCCCATGGGCATGAGACTAGAGAAGGACCTCTGCAGGATCTGACAGGAAAGGTCAGCAACCTCAGGGACTGTACCCCCACATTCCCTCCCCATTAGATTGGGCTGCAGTCTGTGACCCATTGTGGTAAGATGCCCTTGGAGCACACACGGCAGTGTCCTTGTGATCTCAGAGCAGCATCCAGGCAACAAGCATGGAAGATGCCACTCAGCCCTGCTGCAAGAGAGCAGACACTTTTTACAAATGTCTTCTGCTGTGGGGAGGGGGACAGTGGGCTGGAATCGCAGGGCTCCCTGATCCCCACACTTCACAGCTTCTGCTGCTGGGGACACTGGCCCAGCCCACTGAAGGCACATGTGGTCCCAGAGAGCTGTAGGCAACAATGTTCCAGTTCCTCCAGCTCTCCTTGAGCTCCATCTTCTGCATGACTGCCAAATGGAGCCAGATGGCCCTCCTCCCACCTTCTCTACCCAGCCCAGCAGGGCAGACGCACTCACTGTCAGCTTTGCCATGGCCTGCTTTCGAGCCTGGTGGCTTTGCCCAGACAGGCAGTCATCCTCTCTGCTGGAGCCAGCACCTCCTCAGGCTCACCCTGGGTCAGGGTTGCCAGGCAAGCCAGGCACTGGCATGGCTGCTTCTGTTCCCTCAGCTGCTGATGCTGTCAAGTGAGTGCTTCCTGGGCACTGGTGAAATCTTCATTAATAATGTTGCCTGAAGGAAGTAGAGTATGATTTTGTGGGAGGACTGCTCAAGACAAGCTGGAGCAAAGGGCACAAAGAAGCTCCCTGTCTGTTGGTAGCATCTGTTGTTCCAAAGGGGATGGTGTCTGCTGCCTCCCAGGGAAGGCATGGGGTCCAGGGAAATCAGAGGGTGGGGAAGGCCAAGGTATTGGGGTGTCCAAAGGGACCATAAAGGGAAGCAGGGAAGGTAGCACAGACAAAAGACAAAGACCAGTGCAGCTCACCCTGGCATCTAGTCTGTCCCAGGAATGGTCACACTGGTCCATGTTGAACATGCCTGTCCTCTTTGTCCCCTTCATCTTCTATTGGGAGCTGCCAGAATGATCTCTGGTCAACCCCACAAGAGAAGTACCAGACACTCTCCACCCTGACGCTGATGTGTCCTATTGGGAGACAATGACCACCCCAGCACTATAAAGGCCTCTGTCACCAAAAGTCCTCCTGAGGCTCCATTCTGCCCTCAGGCACCTCCACTCACCTTGCCAACGCAGAACGAGGAGGCTCAGCGGGGATGACTGCTGCTTCTGCTGCTTGGTGGCTTCCAGACGCTGTGGTGGGTAGGATGAGAACATGGAGAAGGCATGGAGGTAGCCGAGTCCTCCATGCAGGAACCTGGACAGCTCCATTACCTGGGTCTCCTCTTGCCTGATTCTCCTCACACAGCAGCTGCACCATGAGCTGTTGTATGAAACAGAACTTGAGCTGTGTGTCTTTCTGAGAGGTCAGCTGACACCAGACCTCTGCATGCTGCCACAAGTGGGACAGAAGCTGGTGTCACTGTTGCTGCAGACACTGGGCCTCCTGGATCTTGAGCGCCATCTGTGGAAGAGCCTGGCATGAGTCTAGGGATGACTTGCTGCTTCCTGAGTAAGCCCATAAATGCAGGGACAGGACACAGGCACATGGGCAGTGACCTGCACTGACTCTTCGGCCTAATGACTGCAGACCCAGTAGGAAACATTCACTTGCTTCTATCAGTGGGATTGGAGTCATTGGCAGCATGATTTGGTTTATCCAAACAGACAATTATGAGGCAGTGATTTGCCCTCCTGTAAGAATCACCCGGGTAAGGTCAGCCATCTTGCCACACCACAGTGACAAGCCTCATTGTGGCCTCCTCATCTCAGTCCCCAGAGAGAACACACATGGTTCTAGGCAGCAAGCTGCCCAGAGAGAGGAAAGGAAACTGTGGAGGGCATAGTTCTTTGGGAAGGAGGATGGGGGAGGATGAAAGAAGACAGCAGGCAAAAGGAAAAAGCACAAACCTGAGGTGATGCCACCAGTGAGAGCGGCTCCTGGGGAAGGGACCCCACCACATGACACAGTGTCATCAGCAGAAAGAAGTGCAGGAGCAGAGTGATCTTCAAGCCTGTCACAGAAGGAGGCAGGTTTAGGGGGACATGTGAGACAGCTAAGCACCATAGTCACAATGGAACAGAGCACATAGGACAGGGCTGCTGCAGTCAGTAGACAGTCACACATGCTGGGGCCAGTGGGAGTGAGGATGTGGCTCCCCCAGGCTCCAGGCCACAGGCTCACATTGCAGATGTCCAAAGCTCAAAGCAAGTGTTGACAGCCTCTTTTCTGAGCCCCCATAACCTTGCTCTGTCTGTAGCTCAGCACATGACTCTCCAGGCTGGGACCTGGGACAGCCTCAGAGTACTGCACTCTGTTCCTCAAAGTCACTCAATGACACATTCACCCTTCCCTCATCATCATTTTAAAATCAGAGCTCCTAAGTAGCCACTAAGACTCAAGTAGTACAGCTAAAAATAAATTTCAAAAGACACTGAGGCCCACGAAGTGATTTTTCTGATATCATCCATAAGCTAGTGGAAAAGAGAACTCCAAGATTCTTCTCCTAATCCTGGTGCCCAGAGTTCTCCTTTCACACACTGAGGGGCTTTCAGAAGCCTGAAAATGAGGAGCTGTTCTCACTGGTGTGGCTTCCCTGACTGAGGAGAATCAAATAGCGACTGCCATTTGCAGAATGTTTCCACTAGGCCCTACTGAATTCACACACACAAAAAAATTCATTTGAATGGCACAAGTGTACATAAAATGTTCCTTCATGTCTTCTCTCCTCTCTCTTTCTCTGTTTTTGAGAGTGCTGGGGATCAAATCCAAGGCTTCACACAACCTTGTCAAACGCTCCGCCACTGAGCTACCACACCCATAGTTCCCAAATGCAGAATTCTAAACCAGTACCTGACACTTTTCTCACCTGAATCATCACCCCCTATCACCCGCTACTGCCAGTGGAACTCCCAGCAACCTGGTCCTCTAAAACTCACTTCTGCAGATGTGTAAAAATCACCAACAGTGGCTGTGCCAGGATGACTTATATTTTAAATATTTTTCTTCTTCTACAAGAGCACTAATGCTATTTATTTAGTGGAACTACTCTCAACTGTGGAATGGAAAATCAGTGATGCTCATGAAAATAATAAATCCCCATATTCACATCTTCTTGCATAGTTTTTGCAAGATGCTAGTATGCACGTCATTGGCTGAAATGCCACTCACAATCCTGAAAGATGTTCTAATAATCAGTTAATGGCTGAGACAATAACTTATTAGTATGGCAAAGAAAAAAGAAAAAACAAAGGCAAGCTTACAGTGATGTATGCCTGGAATCCCAGACACTGTAGAATTTGGGACAGGACAATCATAAGTGCAAAGACAGCCTGAAAGAAAAAACAAAACAATCTCAAAATAGAAATACAATATTAAGTAAATGAGGCTTGGCATGTAGCTCTGTGATCCCTGGACTCAATCACTAGTAGTACTACCCACCCCTGTCACAAGTGAAGAAGGCCCTGAACTCCATCAAAAGTTACATACACACACACACGAGAATGTGAAGTAGAGAATTTATCAAGGAATTTTAAAATCTCTGGAGAGTAGAAACTTGGGAGAAAACCAGTACAGACCTGTTCTCCTATGGTCACTCAGAGACACTGCCAGTCTTCAGCTCTGTGGTGAAATTTTCATGTTGTCACTGTCTAAGTTAAGAAGACAACCGAATTCACCTCTGTTCTGGTTCCCATGGCCCAAACCGCTTGCAATTGGAAATTTGTGCCTGCATTAGAGAAAATGGGAAGGTGGAAAACACACCTTAGGGGACCAGGTATGAAAATCAGTATACAGGTGATGACAGTGAACAGGGGTTGGGACTAACCACATTCTACCCCTTTCTCCCTTTTCCTAGATCTAGTGTGCTCTAGCCTCTTCTCCACCCCAGCAACAGCGGGGACTGAGGTCCTTGGATATGGGGTTCTTGGAGTTCTGGTTTGGGGCAGGAGAAGGATAGGGCAGAGCCCCAAGTGGGGTCCTGAAGTGACCACCAGAGTCACCAAATTCATGGAGGGTGGGGCGTGGCCAATGGGGAGACAGGCTGTGAGGAGTGCTGACAGCGCACTGAGGGTTTGTTTCTGACCATGGTGCAGCAATTGGGAAACACAGCCTGAGTCCAGGGGCTGCGACCCTATATGACTTACCCTTCTGAAGGCTTTGGTAGTATAGGTGATGTAACATCTTAATGTCGTGTAGAATTCAGCAGTCAGTCCATCAGGGGCTGGGCAGTTTGTAGTTGATAGACTCCAATACTTTCTGAATTGTTTGCTGGTTATGAGGATAAATATTTTTGTATCTTCTTGGGTTAGCTTTGGCAGCTTGTAGTAGGAAAGCATCTATTTCTTCCCATTTTTCCACTTTATTGGAATACAATTTTTCATTATAGCTACTATCTTCTGAATTTCCATAGTGTGGATTGAGATTTCCCTTCTAATTACATTGATGTGAGTTTTTACTCTCTTTCTCATGATAAGTTTGGCTAAGAGTTTATTTTGTTTATTCTTCTGAAGAAACAGCTCTTCTGTTTGTTGATTCTTTGTATTGTTTTTAGATTCAGTTTTGTTGATTTTCAGTCTAAACCTTGTGATTTCCCTTCTTAGTGTTGGTTTGGGCCCAGGATGGTGCTATTTCTTGAATATCTTAAAGTTTCTTATGATGCCTTTTATTTGAGTCCATTTAGTTTTCTTAAAGGAACAGTTAATTACAATCAACTTCCCTCTTAGGACTACTTTCATAGTGCTCCAGAGGTTCAGAGGGAGTTGTGCAATTGCCATTAACTTCCAGAAATATTTTGATGGAATCTCAGCATTCTTTTAATGTGCATGTCTTGACTGATCAGTGGGGTCGAACATGTTTTCATACATTTATTTGTCATTTTTACTGTATCTGAGAAGTGTCTATTCATTACACATGGCCATTTTTACATTTGGCCTTAAAATGGGGCGGGGGCTGGTATCTGATTGTTTTCAGTTCTTTAAATACTCTAGATATTAGCCTTTTGTCTGAGGAACACCAAGCAAACACTTTTCCTGTTCTGTGGGTTGTCTCTTCAATCTATTAGTGGTTTCATTTACTGTGAAAGTCTTTTAATAAAATGAGATCTCAGTTGTTGATTTTTTGATAGTTCCACTTGATTGGAGTTTTGATCTTAAAGTCTTTACTTACATCAATGTGTTCCAGTGTTCTATTTATTGTTCCTTCCTGCAGATTTACTGTTTATGTTTTAATATGTTGATCCATGTTGATTTTAGGTTAATGCATGAAAGATATGTGTCTCTTTGAATCTTCATTTTGTAGAAAGCCAGCACCATTTTGAAAGAGGTTACCTTGTCAAGGGAAGGTGCTTGGCTCCTGTTTCAAGCATAGCTGAGTGAGTATGTCTGGAGTTGTTCTTCATCTTCAAATCTGTTCCATTAATCTTCAGGTCTGGTTTTTGTAGTTGTGGTTGTTATTGTTTTTATTTTTGTTTTTTGACAGTACCATGCTGTTTTCATCACATTAGCTTTGTAGTAGAGTTTCAAGTAAGAGATGGTGATGCCCCTTACTTTGCCTTTATTGCCCTGAAATGGGTTTTGCTATTCTAGGTCTCTTCTGGTTCCAAAGAAATTTTAGGATTATTTTCTCTAATTCCATGAGATATGCTGTTGAAATTTTAATCAGAATTTCATTAAATCTGTGTAACAATTTTGGAAGTATGATCATTTTCACTATATTAGTTCTTCCTACCCAAGAGCATGGCATTTTTTTCCATTCTCTGATATCCTCTTCAATCTTATTTTTCAGAGTACTATAGTTGTCAATGTAAAGGTCTTTTACCTTTCTCATTAGATTGATTCCTATGTATCTCATTTTTCTGGATGGTATTGTGAAAGGTATTTTTCTTTAACTTGTCTCTCAGTGAATTTGTTAGGAGTGTATAGGCAGGCTGTTGATTTTGGAGTGTTGACTTTATATCCAGTTATGCGACTGATTTTGATTATTAAATCTAAACATTTTTGGTTGAGATTTTGTGGTCATCTGTGTAGAATATCCTGTCACTCACATATAATAATAATTTAATGTCTTCCTTTCCTATTTATTGCTTTTATTTCTTTGTCTTACCTAATTGCTCTGCTAATGTTTCCAGAACTATACTGAATGAGAATGGTGTCAGTGGACATCTTTGTTTTATTCCTGATTTTAGAGTGAAAGCTTTCAGTATTTGTCCATTTAGCATGATGTGGATTTCACATATAATACTTTTTTTTCTTTAAACTTCACTGAAGATCATAGATTACTTTTATCAGGTTGAGATTAATACCATTTTTATGTATTTATGTATTTATCATGAATGGGTGTCAAAATTCATCAAATGCTTTTTCTGACTCTGTTGAGATGATCATATGCTTTTGTCCTTGGCTCTATGAATATGGTGGATTACATTTATTGGTTTACATATGTTGAATCATTGCTGCATCCCTGGGAGGAATCCTGCATTGTCATGGTGTGTAATCTTTTGATAATCTGTTGCATTCTGTTTAACAGAATCTTATTGATGTCTTTTCATCTATATTTTTTAGGAAGATTGGCTTGGGATCTCTCTCTCTCTCTCTCTCTCTCTCTCTCAGTTGGATACTTCTCTGGCTTTGGAGTCATGGTAATATTTTCTTCCCTGAATGAATTTGTGGGTATGCTTCCCTTTCAGTAAGACTTTAGGGCATAGGGGTATTAAATGTTCTCTTAATTTCTTATAGAATTCAGCAGTGAATCTCTTAAGAGATTGGGCTTTTATTTGTTGGTAGGTTTTCTATTAAATCTTCAATTTCATTGACTGACATTGGGTTATTTGAGATTTTATTTTTTCTTGATTCAGTTTTGATAATTCCTATGTATGTAGGAATCTATCCATTTCTTCTGTGTTTTCCATCTTGTTTGAGTACAGGTGCTTGAAGTAGACATTGAATGAACTTCTAGGTTTTGCAGGATCTGTTGTGATTTAATCCTTTTCAATGCTAGTTGCATGGATTTGTGTAT